AAATCACCTTTTTTATAACGTCGAAACCAGTACATGTTGAAATCAATAGAATATAATCGCGATAAGTTTCTGACAGCATTCGTTTTCTAATTTTAAAAATTAGAAAAAGATGAAGAATAAGTTAAACCGAGATTAGAGTTAATCTACATTGATGAAAAAAGGCATTAGATTTAAGTTTCAATTAAGTTTAAGCCTTTGGTCACTATTCATAATCTATCCTTAAGACTCTTATAACTATTAAGTACGATTTTAAAATGTCATGAACCAATCAAAGAACCGTATATCAGTATCTTAAGACATTATTTAAAACGGTCTTGAAGTAAGAACGGACTATGAATACGAGCGTCAGAGAAGCATATTAGCATCTTAAGATATTATTCAAGACGATCTTGAAATAACTATTAAGTGTACAAATAAGTTTCCGCCGTTTGACAAAAGACGGCGCCACTAGCAAGCTATGGTTAAAATTGTCTGATATAAAACATTATATCGTAAGGTTGGACATTTGTCAACAACATAACCTTGAAATATTAGTGATTTTGTATCAGCATCATATATTTTTTTTTGTGCGAAAATGCCGAGTTTTGAGCCGAATAAGTGTCATTTGCGGGAACTTTTGATTTACTTCTTTAATTTGAAGAAATCTGCAGCTGAGGCTCATCGATTGCTTGTAGAAGCATATGGTGAGGCTGCCTTAAGTGAGAGAAGTTGTCGTGAATGGTTTCAAAAATTTAAGAACGGTGAATTTGACGTCGAAGACAAAGAACGTAGCGGAAGGCCGAAAGTGTACGAAGACGCGGAATTGGAAGCATTATTGAATGAAGATTCGTGCCAAACGCAAAAAGAACTTGCACTTACATTTTGACTTGCATCAATAAAACATTATGTATCGTTCTTTTACAATAAATGCTTAATTTTTTATTAAAAACGGCGGAAACTTATTTGTACACCTAATACGTCGGCTTTTATCTCTTGAAATCATAGAATCACAAGATGTTAATAGCGCGATGTTCTTCGACTCTATCGGTATACTACAAAAACGTAAATAATATGGTTTTTATGGTGTAGGAAAAGAATCTTTCAAGACACACGTACATTTCGGAGGAATTATAATATTTACGTGGAAACCCGATTGCGGAGAAATACGGTGACGGGCTGACGGACTGACGGGGTGCCGCGCCGCGTCGCGCCGTGTAGTTGCGAATAAATAACGGTGTTTAAACAGGACGACCGTCTCGCGAAAATTATGAGGTCGCCCCGTGGCTGTTGCGGCCCGTGACTCCGGTGGAATCCCGTGTTTTGCGCACGGAAGGGGAGAATGCAGCTGCACCGGCGATTAGTCGGACGACGAGTGACGTCAATGGTTTGCTTGTCTTTGCGAAAGTCTTGCGAGAGGGAGGTAGCGAAACTCAAGGAGAGCCATTAAATGCTTCTCCATGGGAGCACCATTCTCGCACATTTGCCACGCAAGTGTTTCATCGGCGAAGCCCATTACATTTTCCAAAACTCATCCTTCATTTCTCGATAAGTAGAATATTAATTATATTTTGTAACATAAAGCGATGAGAGAACAATAATAAATAAATGAGAGCCGATCGATGAAATTAAATGCACATAAGTGAAAAATGTCGTCAATGCCATTTGACCAAGGCGGTTCTTTGCGTCTTGTAATATTTCTTGTAAATTTACAATTTGCAATTATCTCGACAAAGTTGCATGTAACATTAAAAACTGTAAATAATTTATTGCGGAAAATATTACCTCAGTCGGGATTCAACTCCGACAAATAATCGGATGTGCAGAGTTTACTCAAACTGGAAATTGTATAAATTCACGAATAATGTTATTTGGGCGCGAAGAGGGCGCGATAATTGCCTTTGTATATTTCTCGTTGTCAACATAAATGCAGTTAAATATAATTGATTAAAAATAATTTTTATCTTCTCTGTTAATTTTTTAGTTTCATCAAGGATGTATGGATCATATCTTAAGATGTTATAAAAAATATAAAAATTTCATAAATTATTACATGACCGAATATGGCATTTTTCACGTGTGATGAGAGAAAAACATGAGAAAACATAGATAGAATATCTATTCAGTTAGCTTATTAAAGTATTAAGTGAGACGAAAAAAGATTTTTCGAGTTTCAAATATAAATGTCTCAACGTTAACGATCATATTTAGTTGAAAGTGTTGATCAGGCATTTTTCAGAGATGGGATTATTTTCACGGTTGGGAGTCGCGGTCTCATGATCTCGCATAAAATAAGTCCAGGAAGGTTCTCTTCTCTTCTCTTCTCCCGAGAGGTGCATCGTTCTTAGATTCCATCAGTATATAGATAAACATTCTCTTTCACTTCTCGACTCTGCCTTTCGAGAGGCTTCGGGAGAGAATAAGTACGCTTTTACCATGCTCGCTCGTATCTCTTTGGAGCTCCCATGCCCATTCGTGTGCTCGTGTGTACGTGAAGCGTTCGCGTGCGTTCACGTGCACGTGCGATCAAAGTGGGAGAGGTATTGTGTCTCTACGTTGTCTTGAGAGGATGCGCGCGAGCGCGATGTGTCTGTGGGCATAATCGTTTATTTCGCGTCGACCTTTGCGGGGCACTACGTCAAAATGTCAGATGCGACCCCGCCTGAGCGCGAGGGAAGATGTACTGGGAACGTTGTAATGGGCTTACAAAGCGTAACAAACTGATGCGAGGTCAAACACACGACGGGCAATAAACACACGTAGAGATAAATGGGCCCTTAAGGTGCACCACACCGGGCCCGCCGCACCAGGAGGCGGGCGTTTCGTCTCTCGTCTCTCGACTCTCGACGCGTATCTCTCCGATGCATGCGATGTGATGTTTTGTTTGCCGCGAAATGAGCGTCGATCCGAGACCGCGATACCCGAAACTCGCGCTTGTCTCGCTCGTTTTCAAACAACGGCGTTATTCTCGTTCGTAAACGCGCAATTGCAAGAACAATCGTTTCTCTTTTTTAGCTGCAAACGGATTTAGCTTTAACGGATTTATTTTTTTATATAGATATAGTCCACTTTTTTCTCTTTACAGATATATATATTTATATATTTATATATACACTTTTCCTGGATATCAGCATTAAGAATTTTTTTCCACATCGTGACGTATTTCTTCTTGAGTCGACTTCTTTGTATCGACTTTCTCTTATGAGAATTTATGCGAACATTCCGCAACGTTCATAATTCAACTATAACTTTTATAGACTTTGTCGTGTATCGAGAAATATTGTTAATATTTCTCGTTGTCAATATAAATATAGTTAAATATAATTGATTAAAGGTAATTTTTATCTTCTCTGTTAATTTTTTAGTTTCATCAAGGATGTATGGATCATATCTTAAGATGTTATAAAAAATATAAAAATTTCATAAATTATTACATCTGAATATTTGTGTAAAATCTGAGCACAATTATTTTTTTGGTTTAAAAATTGTTTAATTTTTTTATTGGTCTTGATTCTTATGTAAAATCGTATTTGATGAGAAAATAATATTAAGAATTAAATCAAATTTTATACATATACCTAGTCGTACACTATTAATCAAACAATAATAAATACTCGTACAAAAATTTATTTGAATCTACTTACTCCCTTTGGGAAAATGTACTTTAGAAAACCTTAAAAGAGAATTTTAAAACTTACTTAAGGAAAATTAAAAGACATTAAAGAAACTTAAAAATTGTGAAAAATGAATATGAACGACTTATACATTTTTCTTTAAAATAATAATTGTAAAATTGATATGAATTTGTAGGCAAGCCCCATTCGCAAGTAAACTTTAATTTGATCTTACTTTAAAACTTACGAGCACTTGAAAAATTCCAGATGCAACGGAAATAATAAAAAATAATAAAACCTTTGGTTTTTCTAAGCTATTTTAATGCGTCTTGAAATATATACTTCAAAGATTTTTAGGTTACTTTAGACTAACCTTTTATCCTAAATTACTTCAAAATTTTTAAAATAAACTCTTAATTACCTTTAAAAAATCATAACTTTATTTAAAATAAATTTTCCGCAGAAGAAGATCGCAACCCCACTTTGTACTCATAGTCAAAACATTCTCAAGTATCGAAACAGTCGCACGTCCCGGACTGCAGACACAGACGGAGCAGTACGATCGCCATGAGCGACTCGCGAAGCGTAACAAACTGACACGGGGTCAAAACGCACGACGTGCGAGTCGCGGAGTCGCGACGGGCAATAAACACGCTGAAAGATAAATCGCCGGGCGATCGGGTTCAGTCCGTGGCCCAAGTCTCGGGAAAAATATATTGACGCGCGGTAGTTTTCATTTTCGATACGAAGAACGCAGATCGGTATGAACAACAACGTATCATCCGGACTACCAAAGATGATTGGGTTTATTGCCTCTCCCCTTTGTACATTTATAACGTACACTCGCTTACTTTACTTTACGATCCAGCCGCAAACAGATATCGAGGCTCACCTTACTCGTTACCGCGCGCTATCCTGTGGAAATTATTGCTATCATAGAGACAATGCTATCATGGAAACTTACTGTGAAATCTAACGTGATTATCCGTTATTATTCATATCGAGAGACATATCATTTTTACAGGATCCGACCTTCGCGAAAGTAATCGAATAATTTAGTAATCTGGGGGTGAATGTTGTATATGATTAATATAATGCGTTCTCCACGAGATCGTTACAATATAGAATAATTGAATAAGCTTTCGGGGAATACAGACATTATAGACCTAGAGATTGTCTTTCTTTCCGACTCGCGTCTCTATCGATCAATTTTATACACAAATCATGCCCAGTCCATGCTCTATGCTTTAACTGGCTTTGACCATGATGGACGTAGACGTGTTTCACATCGCACACGTCAGACGGCGGGCGGGCGGCTTAGCGTCCTGCTTTCTCTTTTCTACGTTTTTTTTTTTGCAAGCTAATCGTGCTGACGGTATGTACGATCTGTGATGTTCGATTCTCTTTCAGATGCCGCAGACGGTGCCGACCGCGGCCGGCTACTCGCCGTCATTCGACTACAGTACTTTTCAATTCGATTTGTCTCTCCTGCCGGACGATTACAGCCCAACCGGCGCGGGCGGCCAGGCCTGTTTGAAAAGTTCGCAGATCAAGCAGGAGGCACGTTCGCCACGCTCGGGATCTCCCACGATCTACCAGAGCCCACCGTATCCGACCGGCGAGTTGCCCTTGTCGCCTAACTATTCGCATGAGGGTTCCTCGCCGGGATATCCGACGAGCCCCTATTACGTACCCAGGAGCCCTCAGAGCGCCCAGTTTTATCCTACCAGCCCGGAACCGTCTGCCAAGCAAACGGTCAAGAGGGAGAAGAGCCTCGACCTTTTGGCTATTCTTCAGGAATCCAGGTAGATACCGTATCGCGTCTAATTAATTATTTTGTAATTAAAGTAGACTTTTACCTTGGCTCGTATTTTTTTTAATGTCCATAGATATCACGCGTGTTCAAAATCAGGACATAAGACTTCGGTTGGATCCACTATATAGTGACTAGTGCGTATTAAAGCGGTTGTATATCTATTACTGGTTTAGTAAAAGTAAAATACAAATATTTCGAATTATAAAATACAGATTTTACTTAACAACGCAAGTTAAATCTATTGAGGATTTCGTGGTTTAATCCATTTTTATGTTTATATTAAATTAAACAGATATTTTTTTAGTCGTCAACGTGCGACGGCTTTAATGGGGCACTAGTATACAGTTGCATAAACTTGAAACCTACACAAAAAATGCAAATTTGATAAAACGTAGATTAAAACGCCCGCGCCGATGTTAAATTTCGTCTCTACTTTCAAAGAAAAAATTTAATTTTTTTTATCTATATGAAATGCTATTACACTGTGTTATATATGATCGTTATACGTGACGCGCGTGAGCGATTAAAAATCGCTGATCACTCGCATTTAGGACTATACTTGGATGCTATTATTTCTCGTGTCCTGTCATTTTCTTCGTTTACAATCTTTTAACGGTAATGGATCGCGCATTTTCGCATGATTACAGACTCTTAGCCGAGAGTCTGGGTTACCGTGAGGACTCAACCGACTGTACAGTGCCCTGTACTCCGCCTCGAAGCGAGGAGGATATCTATAACAGTCTCGACGCCGATTTCCTACCGAAGAAGGAAAACACTGGCGTGCAGGGACATCCGTTATTGAAAGAAATCCTTTTCAAGGAGGAACCGCGATCCGTTTCTAGCAACAACGGTTCGTCGCCATCTTCCTCTTTGTCCTCCTCTTCATCTTCGCCCAGTCCCTCGAGCGAATTTGAGGGTAGTTCAGCGTTGCACGAACTCCTCTTCAAGGGCGCCGCCCTTCGTAAGGACCTTGTGGTAATTTCCAAGACGAGTCAGCTTAAGGTGGAACGAGGATCGCGAGAAGAACTGGTGAATCCATTGCGAAAGGAGGAAGAACTTTTCAAGGACGGCCAGAAAAGCGATCATCAGCTGCTGCGAGAAGTACTGAGGGATACTAGCTTCCAGAGGAAGTACAATCTAAGACCTGTCGATCTCGGCGGCGTCGGCACTGGTTTCGTCGAGGACATGGAGACCGGCGAATGCGTCGGCGACCTCGCCCGCGAACAGCTCGAGCCCGTCCTCAGTCTGGCTATTCAGCAACTACAGAAGGACTTTGACAATACCTGCGTGGCGCTCGGTATTCACCCAGGTGAGCTTCCTTTAAACTGAAGCCTCCGTTTAATTACAATTTTATAAAACAATCTTCTCTTCTGGTTCATATTTCTGCAAGATGAGTGGAGACAAGTCTTGCAAATGAGCGTAGCTTGATTATCATACAATTTTTCTCATTGAAGATAGCTTTGGAAATTTATAAAGAATGCTGAAACTGAATTTTTTTATAATGCAAATCAAATTAATTGAGACAGCACAAATTATTGAACCACAATTTGCGGATTATAAAATCTATACGTATTATTATAATCGTAGACACCGGATAACGAATTAAAGAGCTGAAGTGATAAAAGATATGATATATAAAATCATACATCTTATACGATTATCGATATTATCTCGCTAAAGATTAATTGCAAGTATACTGGAGAGTAAGTGCGTATGTCCTTATATAAGCACGCCATTTCTATAATAGTCACCGTGACAATGGCTGTAATCACGTGCGCGTTAATTATTATTATTATCAACCTTATGGTAATCATCGAGTAAGATTTATTCTTGCGTTTCTTATAAAATTTTATCATTACATCTTTTGCTAAGATTATCTCGACAATGTAACTCGAGAATTATCTATATTCGTGATTTTCGATGATGTTTCATACGGTAGATTATAGCTCAAGTCTTATTATCATTCCAGAACTTATGAAAGTATTAAAATTGAGTCAAGCACCTCTTTCTTTAGCAATCTCTCAAACTACTTATCGTATGCGTGTCCATAGTTGTAATGCAATGTCGAGATTCGTTAGTATCTCACTTCTCCATCTATAAACTCTCTCCTCGTGATCAGATATACTGTGGAAATATTCACTTCGTGCCATTCGATGATGTATAGACGACACGATTACGAGCGAACCATCAGAAATTCCGACGCGCACTTCGGTTTTCTCGGTTAAGTATCAGCTAGTCTCGTTCCGTTAGGCCTTCTCGTTACCTTGCCGCGGGCAGTAATTTCGACGACGACGATATCGTCGTCGTCATCGTCGTCGTCGTCGTTATATATTCGCAAATACAACTAGTTCATCTGTTAATGTGAACCATGAGTCACGGTTGAAATAAATTACCAAAGCATGTCGTGTTGGCATGCTTTCACAAGGAGTTACGAAATTATGGTGCTGTGCCATGACGAAGATCCACGTCATCGATATAATTACATGCCTTACAGATTTTTTTTTATTCTCAATATCCTTTTACGCTCATTAATATGACTTATTAATATGACGCAACTATTATACTTCCGCACGATATCTTCTCAATAAGCGGGAAACGTTTTCAAACGTTGCAGCAATATTGCGACTACGTTGCTGCAACGTTGCCGCAATGTTCGAAAATGTGCTTTGCCCTTTCTGATTTTTCTTGGAGGGTACGAATATTCGTGTAATTTAAAATCTCGTTTCTCGGTCCTTCAAGTTTATCATTTTTCATCGCTGCGTTTTTTCGACGCGGTTGGCGACCGTGAAAATAAGTAACGTCAGATTTCCGACACTTAATTGCAGAGCCCAGACGCTGGAGCGCAGCGGATGTGGCGGCTTGGGTACAATGGGCCAGGCGGCAATTGCAATTGCCTTCGGTACCTATGGAGAGCTTCAACGTGGATGGCGCGACGCTGGCCTCCCTCACAGAAGAAGAATTCTGCCGGAGAGCTCCTCAGGTGAGCTCAAATATAGGTTCCTTCCTTTAATCTTTTAATGAAACTGACAATGTGACACAGAGATCACGTTCAAAGAATATAGATGATTATATAGATGATTAAAGGATTTTTCTTTTTTAAATATTATTATTACAAACGATTTTTGTATTATTTACTATTTTCCCTTGGCAGAAAATACTCGCATTTTATCTAAATGACCTTTTTTCCAATTTTTCCATTTTCCGTTAAATATCTTACGCGCAATAATCAAACTTGTTTGTTCAAAAAATTCTGATATACAAAGTCTGATTAAACGGGGAATAAGATTTCGTTGTTTACTTCTATTTTCTCGACTGCTTCAGCTTCTCGCGACTGCATACTTAAATGTAGGTAAATTATGTAGATATCTGTTATTCAGACATCGCTTTTAATCTCCGAGCAAAAAAGAAATTGCTCAAGATATTGCAAAAAGAAAAAAAATTCGCATTAAATTTTTATTCTTTATTTTTACACTTTATCGTGTCCGACTTTTATTTTCTCGTACACTACGTTAAGCGCATGCACGACTCACAACTTTGACGTGTACCGTTACGCAATGGCTTGCGTCTGCGATGATCGACCTCGTCGCACGTCGTGGGGATCGTACATACTTGTACTTACGTGCTTTCGATGAATCAATCAGCCGCGTGATTTTCGAAATGATTTTATTTTACGTTAATGTAAAAAGGTCTGAGACAAGAAAAAAAAAACACTTAAATTTACGTATGGGTTTTTTGCAAGACGTTCTCTCTGTATTGTAATATGGATGCTTGATGATGTTAGCAACAATAACGAAGTGATACTCAATCCTATATAAAAATGTATTCTTATCTGTCTCATTGGATTTTTTATGGAACTTATCTCTCGTCGCGTCGCGGAAATTTATAATAGATTTTACATTTATCGCGATAATTGTCGTATGTTGCGTCTATTTAGTTCGTAATTTCTTTCGATAGTAAAAGTATTTTCATAAGTAATCACATATTTAAAATTAAATTATTGTACTTATATATATTTCATCAAGATTAATTTTCAAGATTTCATCATGATTAATTTTTAATAAATGTCAGTACTTATCAGTGACAATAAAATGTAATATAATAACAGGATGTGTGGATGTGAATCGATAAATTCATGTTTCAGTGAAATTATGGCAAGTTTAAATTTGACATCCAAAAAAGTTACACGCAATCAGTGAGCGTAATTTTAACTTTATCCTTTATTATTGTAACAATTCGCGATCGTTGTAAGCAAGTTCGATCGTTGAAGAAACCAGGGCCGGGACTTGAGAATGTCCGTTGCCAAGATCCGGTGAAAGTGAATTTCCTGGTAATCGATGCGCGTTTATGTCCCTTCCGCATAATCTGTACCTGAAGAATTAACTGAATTGTGGTTGAATATACGTTGTTCAAGATTTCGACATAACATAACAGGATCGGAATTCCCCAAGAATCATCTGACGCGTGAAAGTTACACGTTTGTGTCAGAGATACGATTTCAGGAGAAGTCTTTAAGATTGTTCAAGATTGTCAATGTTTTTCTTTTATTAACTTCTTCTTTTTTATCAGGTTAAAACTCGTGTAATCTCATATTAACGATATATATTGACATTGATGAGTATCAACGTGAAAATTTAAATAAAAATATAAATTTTTACATAATTATCACCCAGTCTTGTTTTGAATGAAATACTATTTTATATTATCATATACGGGATGAAGATTGTAAAAGGCTAGGTTTAAGAGTAGATTTCTGAAATCATGTTAAGATAAAAATTCTAATATAAAAATATCGAGACTAATAATTTTTGAATTACAAGCATTTAAGTTATACTGTCTAAAACTTATGCTTATTTAAATGCGGCACAAAGTGCTAAAAGCGAAAACTAATTATCGCCTCTTATTAATATCGATATAATAAAGATTATACATATATGCGAAGATAAAATTATTGATGTTTCTAATTATTGATATTTATTATATTAAAAAATTATTGTAACCTTGACATTATTATGGTATTAGAATTTTTGTCTCAAAATAATGCTAGAAATTTCCCTGTATTATTACGGCCTTTACGGGACATCCTGTATGACAAATACCTTTGCAATCTTAAATAGAGTCTCAAAATTCGCGAATCAAAATTAACTTTCTTATTATAGTAAGAAAGTTTTTAAAAAATTAAGTAAAAAAGTTATTTGTTAAAAATTTTTATTTTAAATAATAGTTTGTAAAATAAGGGTTTATAAAATAATAAGGATACTGAGGTGTATTTTGATTCGCAAGTCTCAGGACAATAGTGAAAATATTAATTTTGATTACAATATGCATGTCTAGCGCACATTTACACTGTAAATGCAATTTTCTACCTTGTAAATAATATCTGACTTAAGAATATATGTGATTACAAGTATCGTAGTTTGATTAACACACGAAGTAACTTAATTACAAAGTACTATTAATGATCAGTTATGCATATCTCGATGTGATTATTTGACGAATCAAAGTATGAAATTATCTTTATATGAATATATTATTATTCGAAAAGAACTGGTAAAATAACAAATTACGACGGCTTCTTTCTGCTGGCTTTTCTGATACTTGTGCATACAAGCTGCATTAAGTCGCTTATTAAGTAACAAGTTTTATATCCACATCGAGCGTGTTAAAAACCGGTTGTACCAACATCGATTATACCTATTTGTCGACTGCAGTTAACCCTAAACTTGACAAAGTTGAGATAAAGCTAAGAAAGTGAATTTGACGTTGCATTATAAAATAAAGTGTCACTTTAACCAACTTTTTTTTTTCTAAAAAGTGTAATCTTTTTTTTTTACAGTTACTATTCATTCGTTGATTATTTTTTATTATTTAGTATAATGATTACAATAAAATAGGATGAGAAGCAAAATACATTTCCTCGCTTCATTACCTAAGAATTCATTTTTTTTCTCCGCCATCTTCCTGAGTTTGTTGAAGAAAAACAGGAAATATCAAAGTCAGTTAAGAGCCTGAAACATAATAAATGCCGCATAAACTCCGGACAATTATGTTATGTTTTTAAATCGTAAGCATAAATAGGTAAATCTTGGAGTCTCGTCGATCGATGCGATGCGCATCTTATTATTCGAAGAGAATTACAGGCGTAAGTCTAACGGAAATTAATAGCGAGTATAGAGTAGCTGTGTATATGACGAGCAGCGGCGAAGTAGTCATGCATAATGGATTCCGCTTTGCGTCTAGTAATTGGATAATCGCGTTGCGAAGTACCACGGTAGTTCTCGTAGCGTGGAATCATGGTCAGACTTATGGTCACGTTCTATCTGCGATGCGATCTCGCCGAGTCCTTTCCTCGTTTCTTCGTGTTTCGTTGACGCGACGCGACGTGCAGTCGAGTTTCTTTCGCGGGCTTCATTCATGGTTCGACTCACAAATATTACGCACGCGTACTTTATATTGCCCGTAAAGGTTTACCCGGCCAATTTAATTTTACAGCTTAAGTAAGGGCGATTTAATTCAATGAATTTAAAATTCGTAGATATTCAGTCGTATATCCTTCTTTCTTAAGTCGTCTATAATTAATCGCTTCGTTTCTCGAACTTTTCCAAGTATACTGCAATAGAAGATCATTGAAGATAAAACGTTCAGGTGTAAAGACAATTTTTATCGAGTTTAAACTTTTTTTAAATCGAAATCATAAAAGATAAAATATGGAAAAAAGTGAAAAGAACAGAAAATTGGATTGCGTTTAATAAATGGCGTTTAATGCTGACGTGTAAGCCCCGGACGAGTCATGCCACGTTCGCTTATCGACTCCTCGAGGAAATAATTACGGCATTCTTTGCGGTTTGGCATCGCGTTTAATGGCAGCGATTATCGATACGCGAGAATATTTGTTTCTCGGAATATTGCAAAGTATCCAAGTATGATTGCGCCGCTGAATGAGGCATAAGAATGTGCCGCGCATTGATTACATTGGCAGATCGAAGGAAATGCTTCGTTAATAAGCACTGCGCGATCTAATTTCAACAATTAAATCTTGCAAATAATCATTACGCATTTCGAATCGTTGCTTTGTAATAATAGCTACATTGCTCCAACAGCTTGAGATGAAATCTCTCGCATCTCGCGTCTCCGGATGGCGGCACGTTTGTGGCATCGTGAGGACAGGCGACAAGAATATAACGGCGATGCAGAATAACCGCGTGTCCGAAATGAATGTGCGTGCGTGCGTGCGTGCGTGCGTAAACCGCTTCTCGAACACTCACTCCAAGATCAGCAGGATCGGCTTCACCGTGCCTACCGGTGTGCGCGCCATTGGCTCGTCAGAAACGACCGAAAAGTGGGTCAACCGCTCGAATGTCTTGCCTGTTGCGTTGCGTCTCTCTCAACGAAGCCGCTTTCTCTTCTCTCGCGCGCACAACGATTCTTCCATTGGAATTCTAACGCTCCTAACGCGCTTTTCTGTCTCTCTTTTTCTCTTTTCTTCTTTCTCGCGTCTATTCTTTTCCGTGCTCAGCTTTTATTATCTTTAATCGTCCCTATATATGAGCTTGAAGGCAAGTGACAAGTTAAGTTTAGGTCCTCGATATACACAGATAATATTTTGATATTACATATAATATGTAATAGATTGTAATAGTTTGATCTTGTTTAAATAGAGAACATTGAGGTGTGTTATTTGATGCGTCAAGCGATGTCTACAATGAGATTTTAAATTAATTATTATTGTAGTCGACCAGCTTAAACTCCTTTGAGTTTAACGCCTTAAACATTGCTGTAGACGCCGCTTTATAAAACGTCGAAGCTACGGATAATTATGCTAATAATGCTGGTACGACTGTTTATATTAAAGTGCGGGAGCATGCTGCACGCACAGTTGGAGATCTGGAAGGCCGCCGTCGAGGAATCACCACGAAACACTCTAGCCGCTTCCTGGAGTCCCACGGGAGTAGTTCAGTCTCCAAACAGCGCCGTGACAGCTCCGACTGTTGGAAATACAATAGTTGGCCTCAAGAAATCTTCCTGCACTATTGATTTCTCAGATGGTATGTTATATGCTTCTTGGATCATTTAACGGATCATTATTTATCGAGTGTATTAAACTCGTTTGACGAAAAAATTAAGTGGACACGTCTTATTTTCATGCTTAATTCCGTAGACATAATATTAATAAACTGCGCATTCCTATGGATTTGTCACTTTGGTTTAGAAAAAGTAAGATATCTTGAATCACATATGGGTCTCTCTCTCTCTCTCTGTCTCTCGCTCCTTCTATTTTTATTTTACTTTATTTTATTTTCGTTAAATTCTTTGTTTATATTATATTTACATTGCTTTCTTTTGTTTATCAATGTAATTAATTTTCTTTAACTTTTGCAAGTTTTTTTGTTCCTTATATTATTTTTGCTTTCATTTATTTGGTCTTAGAAGGCCCAGCCTTAGTATAATAAATGTTTTTTCTTCCTTTTTCTCTCCCTCTCTTTCTAAAGTATTAAATTGAAAAGAGATATGTTCAACTCTTTCTAAGGAAGGAGTACAGATGTTAAGATCAGGGAATGCGCAGTATCTACATCTGTTATGTCTAAAGAACTTGTAATGATAGAGCTTAATTATATCGGCTCTTTACTGGGTTTCACGCTCGAATAAAATTTAACGCAACGAATGCCAAGTTGACAAAACGCAATTAGTTTCGCTTCTTATCCCTCACTCCTTGCGTTCCCTTGATTCTCTGCGTGCAGACGAGGATGAGGATTGCGCTTCCGCTCAGAGCAGCGGGAACGACGACAACGGCGGCGCAGGCGGTAAGATACCAGAGTCCGGACGTTCACGGCTCCTGCATACGTTGGCTGGATCGCAACAAGGGAGTCTTCAAGATCGAAGACTCGGTGCGCGTCGCGCGACTCTGGGGCAAGCGAAAGAATCGGCCCGCGATGAACTATGACAAGCTCAGCCGCAGCATTCGACAATACTACAAGAAGGGCATCATGAAGAAGACGGAGCGTAGCCAGAGACTGGTATACCAGTTCTGTCATCCTTATTGTCTATAAGGAAGATTCCTCCGTCTCTCTTTCTCTCTCTCTCTCTCTCTCTCTCTCTCTCTCTTCGCCTTCCGCGTTTTCTTTTTCCCACTTCTCCTTTCTCGTATCTACGAGTCCTCTCCAATCTCTTTTCCTTTGTGCGAGTAGGCGCACGTGGTGGTCTGGAGCGAGTGACCTCAACAAGAGCCCACCAGCACAAAGATTAAAAGGTAAAAAAAGAAAAAAAACGAAATGATCCGCCATGCTCGATATTATCCCGACAATAAGAGCGAGCTATGGTCGGGTCCGCTTAGTACGCCCGTTTTGGGCGATCACTTTCGCCTTATGTTCATTCCCTTTTTTTTCCCATTTCCCTTTCACTTTCCCTCTCTGTCTCCTGTGTGTACGTACTTACGTCTTCGCGTTTTCTTTTTCTTTTTTTTTTTTATTAATAATATTGTATATGTATAAGCACGCGATTTTCTACCGGGTCGGTCTTTCGTTTCGACGAAGCTCTTGTCGCGAGGTGAAGACGCGAGCGGGTGGAAATTTGCCAGAGAAAAGGGAAGAAATGACTCTTTCCTCTCTATTCTCACAATCGCTTGTCGGCACCAGTTCGTCGGATCCTCGAGCTGTCTAATAATGTACGCGATACGTCCACGGGACACCACACTCAGCGCGCGGAACTATTCGTCGCAACTTGATTCCGCCGATTTTTCTCGATATGATAACGAACGGAGATTGAAATTGTCTCGGGAGATAATCTATTTTTTATACGAAAAAAATTTTTCTAATCGTGCACGCGCCATGACTTCGTCGTTCTTCCCTACTGTGTCGCAAACGAGCGAAAATATCAGGGTTGCTACAAAACTGCTGTTGCTGGAAATATCAGGAGCATTGAAAACGGTTAGGAAAATTAAGGAAAAGTCAAGGAATTTTGCAAAATTTTCTGGAAAATTTTCTTAAAATTTTTGACGGATTTTTAAAGGAGTTTATACGTACACGCAGAAAAATGTTTGATTGAATCAACTGGAATTCTGATGGAAAATGAGCAATCCTGAATTTAAGTCTACTAGACTCTGGTTATCTCAATTAGAATTCTAGTCGATTTAACCAGAAATCTGGCAGAATTTTAGCTTGTTCATTTTCTACTGGAATTCCAGTTAATTCAACCAAACATTTTTCTCCGTGTACACCACACCTACGCAGTTTTGGAATACTATCGACTTAACAAAAAAAATGCAAGCCATAAACTTCATCAGTAACTTTAATAACAATTTACATTGCTACGTTAAATTGATTTCTCAACAAAATGTGTGTTACGATTTTAACGATTTCAAAATCAGGACGAAAATGCAAAACAAAAGAAATTGAAAATATTATTAAATTCAAAACATCAAGAAAAAAATCATGAAATTTTCTCCAGGAGACATAATGGAATTTTAGAACGAGGAATTTGTAACAATCCTGAAATACGGAACAAAGAAGAAACGAAACGTCAATTTGCAGGTGCAGTATAGCGTAATGTCGCGTGTATCTGACGGAAGATGAAAATATCTTCGTCGAAATAATCATTACCTGCTCGCGACGGGATGAGGTTAATTATATTTTTGCACATTTTACGACCTCTAACACGCGCAAGTTTCGCGGAAATATTTTTACGCGCGCGCGAAGGTGTTTATTAAGTTGTCGAGAGTGCCTTAGACGCGTGCGGTGGGAATCGCGATAATGAAAGACGCGCCGCGTTCAAGCCGCGAGGATTTCTGATCGGATCACGGACGATGGTCATCACGAGAAATTTCGCGCCCGCGATCGACGACCGCCTCATAGACAGATCGATCGAGTGGGCTTTCCGTTCGAGAGAACGGCGGGAGAAAGAGAACAATTATACGGCGATCGCTGTTGCGCTCGAGGCGTCTCAGACGCACGGCTGGTGCTGGTGATTTTGGTCCCATATATCTATGATATATTAAATATTGTATGTTCCATGAACGATTAGGATTTAAGATTTAGGTGCGTAAGTGTGTATCGGGAACTCACGTGAGTCACCCTTAAGTTACTCCAAGAGATTTTTTTTTTTTCCTCTTTTCTAAGGAGAACAAGAATGTAATATTGACCGAAATATGGAAAAAAATAGCATTGATTTGGTCAATAATCGGTCAATATGACGTCAAATTGACCGATTATTTGGACTTTCTTGTTCTCCTTGAATTTTTTTCTCTTCTCACGTTTTCTTTTCTTGCTGCAACGTCCACGCCGCGCGATCGCGATTGCAATGTCGATCGCATCGATTGTTTATGCTTGTAATTCATAAGTGGCTTTCATGCATTTCTATGTTATTCATCCTTTTTTATCCTTTATTTCTTTAATAGTAAGTTTAGATTAATTTTCAGATTAATTGAAATTTCATTCACTCTTCCGCGCAAATTATCGGGAAATTATTGGGTCATTCTTGTATCTTTCTTTTCTTTCGCTTTTTGTTATATGAAATACTTTTTTAAAATATTTTAATAAGTTATTTGCGATTTTGAATTACAACATATAATATATAAAATACAATTAATATAGAATTTCGCGCATTTTTAATTAAACATTAAGATTTTTACTACAACTAATGTTGTGTCCACGTTCGCTCACCAATCGGTTGTATATACAGATATTATATACAGATATTTTATATATATATATATATATATATATATATATATATAAAAAACACATATTTTATTTATTTAATTGAGTTTGTTTTATAATTGAAATAGTACAATCTGCCGTGTGTAATGCTGGAAGCTCTTCGACATGCGGAATCCCAAGCAGAACAAAAATGTCATAATAACTGAATTATGACAAAAAATGATATAATTCGGTTAATATTCAGTCAATAAATATTCAGACAATAAATTAACATTATTTTGGCCTTCTTGTCCTCCTTGGGATTCCGTTAATGCCGATTCTGTGATTGATATCGGTACCGTTTTTTAGTTCGCTTGTGTATATCATGGATTTAACATTGGAGATTATTAGCATGGCTGTTTCTCGGCCGTGCGAAAGTGTAATTACGTCCATGCATCCTGTTAACATTGAACTTGAATCATTTTCAGCTCGCTTTGACTGCGCAACGTTCATTGTTCAGAATCGTATAATAAATACAACGGCTGCGTTCAGTAAAACAAAAGCAGCTTTGCAACTGTTATGATTCTTTATTATGATTAATTCTTACTTTTAATTCCTTACGAATTTAGATGTACGAACCATATTAAAGAATCTTACAACAGTTACAAATCTGCTTTTTCAGCTGAACGCAGAACACACAATAAATACTTGTAAGTACGTTGTTATAAACGAGTAGAAAAATTGATTTGCATTTGTTTCTAAACATTTTACAAAGTAGTTTAAATTCATGACGATGAATTATTTTTTTCTTGCACAATTGTTTGCTAATTTAATGCTGTTCGACATGAATTAATATTTATGACGAGTGATCATTCTTTAATAACATTCTTTAATTCATTCTTTAATAACAATGTTATTCAGACTGTTAAAGAATTCAAGTCTCTTGTTTCGAACGTAGTACTTAAAGCCAAAGAACATGGCGGCGTGAACGAACGAATATCAGATAAATCTGTCGAGGAAATGAATTTGCTCGCGTAATTAGATCGTAAAGCTCGCCTCGGCTGTTGAATTTCTACGATGCGATACATTATTTTTTTATACGGCTTGATATCATCAAATCGGAAGTAGACCGCGGCGGGAACCTCAAAACACTATTGTTTAATGCATCTAAATTAAAATTGAGAGAAATATTAAATCACAGATATTATATATCTATCGAGAAATAAAAAAGTTGTTCGGATTAATTCTTTTGGTGCCTTCAATTTTTTTATGTTAAACTGATATGCTTTATCAATAGTTAATCAGTATGTAAATTTTATGTTTGCTGCTTCACGAAATTATATAAATACATGCAACGTAAAAAAAGTCTCTTTTCTTGATAGAATGATACGATGACTTCTATGCGATTAAAAGTGTCTCTTTTAAGATCGTTTGCTATCCGTTTTGTGCCAAGCTTTATATTCTGTTATAAATTTAACGGTAGTTGGTTCTTCAATTTCGCGATATAAAGTGCAAGGGAGACTCGAAAGCAGGAAGGGATTTATCTTCGATCGATACCTGCATTATAACAGAAAGAGTGCAGTTCGTTGAAACGGATAAAATCCAGGAGTGGTTAATTTTCCAACTAGATAGAGAAACGGGAAATTATAAAATCGATCAAAATGACGCGAGTAACATTGAATAGATTCCAATCGCGCGATATCATATCACAAAACGGCCATTGTTGTGCATAACCGACTGTTTATTTATTAAATTATTAATTGCTAAATTTAAATTTTGTAAGACTAAGGGCTTTTTCCACTAATTTCTGGTTAAATTAATCTACTCGCAGAAGTGCCAACAGCGGTTTAATGTATCAGAATATCCTCTCTCTTCCTCTTCTGAGAGAAACTGTGTTCAATTCTCACGTTGGCAATCGTGATGATTGAGTTAACCTTCGATTAGCGTTAATCGAAGTTGGTGACAGAAGCCCTAAAAAAAAGATGGAATATTTGTTTTAATGTAACGTGTGTTTGTCAATAGACGTATTTCTTCTTTAAAATTGAAATTATTTTTTCTTAACAAAAATGTAAGAGATGTTGATATTTTTCTATAGTCTAAATAAATAAGAAAAAAGACTTGGGTTGTTTCACCTTTCGATAAACTTCAACTCACTGTCTTATTCTCTTACTCTCTTTTACTCTTTTGTTTATCTAATAGATAAATTAGTTTATCTAAACATAGTTTATCTGAAGATGAAACAACCGGTCCTTGTTAAAATAAATTGTAGGATTGCAATGATAAAAGTTTAAGCGTCAATTAATTTCAAATAGATTACATTTTAGCAGAATTTTAATGTGAGGTTCCATTATTCAATATTTTCATAAAAAAGAAAAATTGTCCCCTTTACCAAATACGTCCATTATCAAACATTTTAATTTACATATGTATATATCAATACGTATAAATATTTAAGGAATTTATATATTGTTATCGAATCATTGAGAGATTACTAATATTGAAATTTATATAGATCAGTGCAATTTATTCTATTTTAATGAAAGAAAAACGAGGGATGGGCTGGCGAGAGAAAATTGTGCTTCCATATTCCCAGTGATCTATGGCAATAGCGATGTAATTTATTGCACGTAAAATTTTGTAAATATTTGTGACTAGCACGAGAGTATATCTCTTTTTATTCGATAACCGTTACTGGTTTTATATGAGCAGATATTTTATTATATATATTATAATATTAAGCGTTATTTTCCTACATAATCGATCTTGCTCTGCAAGATATTTTGTTATGCATATATTATATATATTTATACATCCATGTTCGACTGTTTTAATGAGATTAGGGTGGATATGGCGAGTAGACGTGGTAATAATCAAGGCTGATCTCAAGACACGTCAGTAAATTGAGAGAGCAATACTATCGAAAATTTGTTACGTAGTTTGAAGACAGATTAAAATCGATAGATGACGACGACTGGAAAAAACTTAATATATTTGTACGCGGACTGAGATAAGCCTCGACACGGAAGCAATAATATTATTATTAACGATAAGAATTATATATATACATACATATATTTTCTTACGCCGACATTTTTCGTTGCCGATATTTGGAACGAGTTACTAACACGAAGCAAAGAAAAATAAAAAGGAATAAAAAATTCGTATTATAAAATGTGTATTTGATATTTCCTCCATCCTTCATTTTTCAGACTCTTGAAGAAATTTGCGCTTTCCATCCTTGGAACTTTCATTATATAGCGTCAACGCTAAAATAACGGAACGCACTTTTTGGACATATTAAGAATCGGTCGACAAAAAAGCGAAAGCGACAAGGTGAAAGTCTTTTGGTAGAATTTCTAATCGTCGCCAATATTGAAAGCCGATCAATAAGCAAATAAATTATCGTATCTAAATTCCTCACGGCGTAATAAACGTTTCAACTCATAAAGAAAATTTCTTTTTCTATAATCAGTGAATATTTTTCAAATCTGTATAAATATATAATGTAATATTGTATATATTACATGATATAATATACTTTAAAAATCTCTCTCTCTCTCTCTCTCTCTCTCTCTCTCTTAATATGTTTTACAAAGGAGTAATTTAATTTATTCTTTTTGACACAACTATCGATTTATGTGTTTCCATCCTATTCTTTCTCGCCAATGAAAAAATAGTTTTGGTTTTAATATGGATCTCAATGTGACGTATTTTGCTTTTATTTTTAATCGTTTAATTACGTATATCCAACTTATAATTCATGATCGATTTTTATTTTTATTTATATCTTAATCACTTTCCATCGTTTTATTTATTAAGAATTTCATATATCTAATTTGTTTCCTCAAGCTCGTAATTTATTATATATTTTGTAATTTGGTTGAAGAAGACTTATTGGTATAGCCGAAACGTTTTATGCATTACATATTAATGAATAACTAGTTTTAATTCCTTTTTGACATTTTAATAAACTAGTTTTAATCTTTGACCTAATTAATTGTTTGTTATTTGTTTGATCTTTCTATTAATTTTATTATATTTGCATTGCAATTGCAAGCTAGGAAATTGATATTATTAAAATAATACGTGTATATTCTGTTAAAATAATATATATACCTATACATAATAATATCATTATTAGTATTTAATTGTTTAAAATATTTATGTGCCTTTATATTTAACTTTGTTAATTTAATGTACAGCAGCTTTTATTATGCACTAATCTTGTAATGCAAGTGACCGAATTCGCTCTACAATATTAATCTCTCATATATAAAATCTCTTTTTATATTCACAAACCCAACGAGAAGTAACTTAACTCGGCGTCGAATTAATTATTATTTTCTTATATACGAGTATATATTCTATTATTTCTTATAAACTATTGCCTGAAGGTTTTTGAAAAAATCGAATTAATTCTTTAATGCAATTTTATTGATTTATTCATCATCGATCATTCTACATCGCATGTAAATAAGAAAATTATATTAAAGAATTAGTTCTAAATAATAGTCGTTTTTCAGTTCCACGCAATAGTCCGTTATTGGGAAATTTTACGAGTAAAACACGTATGCATGTACATACCTACATACATACATACATACATACGTACAAACTTGATCCAACTGTTCGCTGATAACTATACGATGGGGGAGTATTTACTCTTGTGAGAGCTTTCCTCGGGGGCGATCCGGCCGGTGGAGCCAGCGAGCATTCCAATTTCAGGCATCGACGTTTCTGGCAACGCGAGGAAGAAGAGAACGCGGCCAAGAAGGCCGCGAGAAGGCGAGAATCTCGCCGCCATAAAGATTCGTATCGCTCTGGAAA